GTCTAGTTTTCACCCAAATTAGCTCCACACACCTTCTGACTCGGGAAAAGCCATGGCCAATGTCACTTCTCACAGTGAGGCAGCTCTGACTGCAGCAAACTCCACCCACTCTCCACCCGCATCCTCCCCAAGTACCAATCGCCTGTCATTAGCACATCATTGGAACCCATTCAAATGATTTCCCCTCTCCTCCTCCCTCCAGCAGTGAGAATTTTTGTGAAGTACTTAACTCTCAAATTGAGTGAATTGAGATCTGACTTATTACTGCAAGCCTCGAGCTGCTGTAAATAGGTCCAGCAATGCTCACTGTATTCGTTTGTTAAGTATTAGAGAAAAGGAAAAGTGAAATAGGGATATTTCCAGATGGCTATTACATTATCAACACTAAAGAAAATAATTAAATTTAACAATAAATAGGCAATATAAAGAGAATCTAATATCAGTAACGCATATTATAGGGTGGGTAAAGCGATCTGCTTACACTACACTTTAAAATCAGGCATCTCAAATCTGGAAAGGAAATTAGGTGTGTGCTCTGCCATTCAATATCCTACAGCCAAAAGAGCACAGAGTCCCCTGAAGAATGAAAACACTGCAGTATTGCTGTTAAGCAACCTGGCCAGAAATGCATGTATTTTGTCTAAGGATGAATACTAGGGGAAAAGAAATACTGGGGAAAGGTAGGAGGATGCTCTGAGAAGGGCTGTGAATTATTAAACAATTTAAAACCTCTCCTGTTGAGATCAGCAAGAATGAACAGAGAAGTAATTATAAATTAAGTGGGATTTTAAGAAATACACAGAAAACATGGTAAAGAAAATAGCAGCTAATAATAAAGGGAACTTCTCTCTGAGCTTAAAGTAAAGCAAAGCCAAACTCTTAACAGAGAAATGTTATATTGCAACACAACGCGACTGACAAACCCAGTGCCACAGGAAGTCACTGAAGCCAAGGACTTCACTCAGACTCCAGAAGAAAACAGCTATTTAAACACATAATAACACTAAGAACAAAAATACACACACAGCTGAAGGAATCTAAAGCCTCACAGCCCAGAATGTCAGACAACATCCAAACAGATGACCAAGATCTACCCATCCAGCCATACTAGCACTTTACCTAGCTGAGCCCACAGCACCCAGCAGCAAATGCCAAGGAAAGAGTACAAGAGTACAACATGGCAAGCAGAGAACACTCTGTCCCTTAAGGCAGCTGAGCCCAGAACACTCCTCAGCCGTCTTAAGGCTGGCATCTGCTAACCATCTAACCCCAAAAAGCAGCTGGTGTTGGCCCATTTCTGAACACAAGGTGTGTATGACTTCATAGTTGACACTAAGTGGTTTTAATTTCTTCTCCCACCTTGCAATTTTAGTATTTAAGAGAGAAAACCACAGATTTATTTGCAAACAGAAGTCAATGCAATGCTTGGAGTCAATCCAGCAAGTGCATCACCCAGACTTTTGGAATCCACCCATCAAGCCCACCTCAAATGACACAAGAATAAAGTCAAGACTGAACACCACATGTCTCATTTAAGCAGTAGCCCCCCTAAAAGTGAGTTTGAAAAAATCCCCTTTAGACACAAATTAAGAAAAAAAGAGAACAGTTCTATAAACTCTTCATATCCTCCCTTCAACTGAAAATTTAAAAAAAACCATATATATTTCCAAATTTACTGATAACACAATGGGTATCTGTGCATACGTACAAATGTTTGCTTGACTTTGAAGCTGGCCCTGCTTCCAAGTTCGGATGAGCTAAGTGACTTCCAGATATCCCTTTCAACTTATATTATTCCATGATTACATAGAAAGCATTCCCAAAAATTACATAGCAATGCATTATAACCCTAATTACAATCAGGGACTGTAATTAGGATTCCTCCATAGGCTATTTATTAACCTCTTTGTATTTCTTTCAAAAATCTGAGCTTGACTTCTTCAAGTAGTTTCCTCTGTAACCAGTCAGACCTTTAGGAACAGCAGCACTGGAAACTCAAACAAGAAAACACAACATATAAAGCATTCAAAGCCTCTTCTTTATCATGCTGCTCCATATCTCAGAGTAAGCAGTGGTCAGCTGTCATTGAACAACAGCCCAAAAGTTTTATTTTGTTTTCTTCACAAAAAAAGAAAACAATGTTTAAAAAAGAAAAGAAAGGAAGAAAGAGAAAAAGAAAAAGAAAAAGAAAAAAGAAAAACAACACAAGCCTACGCTGCCCTGTGGGCAGAATTAATTTAAGCCTGTTGTCATTTTTCCATCCGGTGTCCTACCAGCCCCATCTCACCTGCACTACCAGCTGCACAAACAACTGGGCGAGCAAGCAGCACACCAGGATGGCTCACAGCTCAACACACAGCTGCTGCTCTCCTGATGCAATACGGGGCTCTGTTCTAGCTGCCCTTCTGCTGGGAATACCTGTAAAAAATTTCACAAAAATCTGCCACCATGTAGGTAACATCTTTCATCATCGTGAGACCTGGTTGTGTCATCTGAGTGACTGAAGAATCACTTTAATGGGAGAAGACTGACAAAGATTTAAGTGTAACAGAAAGGCTTGCGTTGGATGGGACCTTAGAGCCCACCCATCCCCACCCCCTGCGGGCTGGCTGCCCCCCACCAGCTCAGGCTGCCCAGGGCCCCATCCAACTCGGCACTGAGTGCCTGCAGGGATGGGGCACCCACAGCTCTATGGGCAGCTGTGCCAGGGCCTCACTGCCCTCTGAGTAAAGAATTTCCTCCTAACATCTAACCTAAATCTCCCCTTTCAGTTTAAAACCATTCCACTGTGTTCCATCGCTATCAGACCATGTAAAAAGTTGGTCAAGTAATTGCACAGCTTTTGTGCACTTGGAAAGCCCAGCACAAAGTTCACAGAAACTGTCAGGTCATGAATCTGTAGAGCATCAATCATGTTAAGAACTTCCTCACAGACCCAGAGAAACTGTTCCAGCATTCTCACAGAAACAGAGACTGTTTCGGAATTCTCACTCACAAGAGTCCCGAAAAAAAAAGATAATAAATGAATTCACTGTTTCCTTCCCAATTTCTACTATAAACAAAGAGTAAGACACAGTATTTAGACAAAGCATGGGGAGCGATATACGCAGCTTCAGAGAACTGGGAATGAAATCACATCACATCCCCTGCTTCCCAGTGACCCCTGCCAACTCAAAGAGAAACCACACAGCTCAGCCTGAGGAGCTGAAGCAAAGCCCAGTGGAAACCCAAATGCAGCCGCGTGCCCCTTCCAATGCAGCACCGCCAGCCTGACAGCTCACACCCCACTCCACAGCTCGCAGCCCTCCAAGCTCTCCCAGAGGGTAGCACTGCGCAGCACTGGGTGCCACTGGGACAAACTTTCAGGGCGAGGCGAGCTGAGTCTGCTCTGGGAGAAGGCCAGCACCGCTGGAATGCTCCAAACGTTCCATGGGGCTCAGACTCGCTGGCAATTTATTTGTACGGCGCATTCCACATAACGCAAGAGGAAAAAAACCCTTCTGCAAACACTGAATTAAACAAACCAGGTTTCCAAATTCTTTTTCGGATGACTCAGACTGTTTTAGCCTCTACAATATTTATGTCCAGAATACAAACATACACTGGCAGTAAAACATCGCAACTGAAAATTCAGCTGCACTAACACTCCACTTTAAAAGGGGATCAGGAGCTTAAATGGCTCAGTTCTGAATGCTGCTCTCAATCTTTGCTTTCAGAACTGTTTACAAATACTGTAAGGGAGAGCTCTGGGGGAAAGAAAAAAAAAGAAAGAAAGAAAGAAAGAAAGAGAACTGACAGAAGTGCGATGTGTGTAAGTCCATCAGTCTGTAAACACCAGGACAGAAATAAGGCTTCTCAGGAAAGGATTATCCTTTCCAGGGAGTTAAAAGGAAAGAGGCAAATCAAAGAAGATCACTAAAACCCTCAGAGCCGCAGAAACAGCCATGTGCACGGGGCTATTTTATAACCCTGAGATTCGTTCGAGGAACACTCTTAGCCTCCAACCCAGCAAAACAGAAACACCCCAGCACAGGAACGGAGCCCTTAGCGACCACCGCTGCGGTGAGGGCATCCGGGGGGGCTGCAGGTCGCCTGAAGCGAGGCCCTGATGCAACGGAATCGCCAGCATCAACAGGAAGATGGAAGCGGGCGAGGTGCGGATGACACACATCGCCCCTGTCAGAGAAGCAGAGCGCCAGAAGTGTTAAAACAAGCCGCGTCTTCTGCGGGAAGGCGCATCTTCATCAGAAGAAAAAGAAGGGGGAAAAAAAGCATTTCGGAGCGTTAATTTAAGCGCTCTCAACAAGTTTTCCAATTAATTACTTTCTCGGGTTAATTAAGGCGCGGGCAGACCGGGAACGAGAGGCGAGGCAGCGGCGCTGCTCGCCGGCTGACGGGCAACGTGCGGGAGCGCCGCGAGAGAAAGGCGCGGGGCGCTGAGGCGGCGCTCCGCACACCTGAGCCGCGCGCCGGGACAGCGCCGGCACCGCGCGGCCGCCTCCGGCGACGCTCCGCACGGCGAGGGGGGCGGCACGGGGCTCCGAGCGGCGGGACGCGGCCGGCGCTCCGCGGGTCAGCGCGGGAAGGGGAGAAACGAGGCGAGGGAGGGCAGAGCGGCGGGCGCGTACGGCGCGCGGAGCGAGGCGAGCTCGCGGACGGGGGTGCTGAAAGCCAGCGCCGGGAAAGGCGGGGAAAACCGACAGCCCGGCACCCGGCACCGGCCCCACGCGGCTCCGGGCGGGGAAGGGCCCAACGCCGCGGCCGCCCGCGGACCCCGCGCCGCCCCGCTCCGCTCCCGCCGCGCCCCGAGGCCGCGCCCCGCCCCGCGCCGGGGGTCTCCGCGCCGCGGAGGCCGAGGGCCTCGCTTCCCCGGGAGGCTCCGATCGGAGCGGCCGAGGCTGCCGCGCCCCGCCGGCCCCCCCGCTCGCCATCCCGCCCGCCCCCGGCCCGAGCCCCGAGGTGAAGTTGGCGCCCGCTCCCCCCGCGCGCCCCGACCTTACCGCTGCCGCGCGCCGCAAACAACGGGCAGCGAGAGGAGCGCGAGACTGCGAGGAGGCGGCGGCGCGCGAGGCAACAGCCGGGGGCGGGGGGAGCGGAGAGGGAAAGGAGGGGGGAGGAGCCGGCGCGCGCCCGAGCCGCAGCCACCGAGCGCGCGCCCCTGAGGGCGTGGGGCTCTGTGGCGGGCGGGCGGAGACGGAGTGATTGACGGCGTTCTGATCGAATTGGCGACGAGGGGAAGGGAGAGAGGCGGGCTGAAGGACGAATCTCCACCAACGGCCGGCAGGGAGGAGGGCAGCTTCGTTTCGACGGGCGTCTCGCCGGCCCAATGAGAGCGGGAGCGCGGTGAGAGATGCTCCCTTGCTGGCCAATAGAGAGGGAAGGGGGGCGGAGCTTCCTGTGGCAAAGCGGAGCGGGCGGAGCCGCGCTGCCTGCGCGGAGCCGGGCGGGCCGGGGATGCGCCGGGAGGCCCCGGGCCGGGCGGTACGTAGCGGGGCGAGCGGCTCCGGGGTCCGTCCGGGATCGGGGTCCGTCGGGTGGGCGGCTTGGCCGCGGGAAGCCCGACTGAGGCCGTGCCGGGCGGGCTGCTCCGGCCCGGCCCTGAGGGAAGGGCCTCGGGCGCCGAGCGCGGGGGGTTGGGAAAAAAGGCTCCGGAGCTGCGGGCGGTCGGCGCGGAACGGCTGCACGGCGTGGAACGGCTCCGGGCTGCCGGAGTCCCTGCTGTCAGGCGTAAGGTTTGCGTTTGCAGTGTTCCTGTGGGGAGCCCGGGTCTGGTGCTCCCTGTGGGCCCCTTCCCGCTGGGCACATCCCGTGCTTCTGCGCGTCGTTCTGCCCATCGCCCTGCGGGCCCTGCGGTCCCCGCAGCGCTGCTCGGCTGTACGGCGGGGAAAGGAGCGCCGCAACGAAGAGCGAGTGAAAGCGCTTAACGCGGGCCTACGGGAACGCGTCCCGTTGCTCAGATACCCACTGAGTCGGCCTTAAAACGTCATTTAGTCGTTAGATTTATAGTTAGTTGGGCTTCAGTTCCTACAGCTTGTAAGTAACTTTTGAGCTTTACGTGTAAACTTGAAGCTCTGTTGTTGTCAATGTAGAGCTGAGTGCTGTGTTTAACTTTCCCTTTCTGTTTTCCTTCTAAACAGGACATAATTAGCTAACACGATATTCTAATTATTGTGCTCATCCCACCGAGGTCAGTAATACTACTTGCATAGTGTCTCTCATCACTGATAATTTTCACTTCCTGCTAATTACAGGAGTCCTATTAAGAGCCAACAGCGTTTTTATTTTTATACTCTGCCACTGCCATTACTTCAGTGCTTTCACAGAACTGGTTCAGGTGCATACCAGATTTGCATCCCTTTCCCAAGGTTAGCCACCTTATGACAGCTCGCCTCCAGCTGTCTGCAGATGCTGTTCTTTCTTTCCTTACAAAATATGGTCACGTTCTCCTTGTCATCAATCCCTCCATCACTGCCATCTGTGTCCCCAGCTGCCAGGTTTTAGATTGTTTTACCATCCCATGCTCGTACTGCAGGACTGTGAGATCTCAGAAGTACCCTTGGATTTTTTTAATTTTCACCCCAAAAACACCTATAGAACTGCATGGAGCCTTGCAGTTCTTGTCCAGTTGTGCAGGTACATCTCTTAACTAATGAAAGGCAGTGTCATGTCCCTTGCTGAGGTTTTTGTCTGCTTGTTTATATTGTGTCACAAGGTGGTTCTGAACCTCAAGAAATGAGTAACTTTCTAACTAAGAAGTTCCACCTAACACCTCTTCTCTAGCTTTCTTTTTTGTCTTTTCTACAATAAAGGTGGTGAGGCACTGGAACAGGCTGCCCAGAGAGGTGGTGGATGCCCCATCCATGGAGACATTTCAAAGTCAGGCTGAATGGGGCTGTGAGCAACCTGATCTAATTGTAGATGGCTCTGTTTATTGCAGGGGAGTTGGACTAGATGACCTTAAAGGGTCCCTTCCCATTCACATGAGTCTGATTCTGTTTTCTCTAGAGACAGTTGATAGCACCTTCTTCAAGTATCTGATAACCTGATACTTCTGAGTGTTGAATTTCCTTTTGCCTTTCAGGCACAAGTTTCCAGTCTGCTTCTTTGGTTTCTCCTTTCTTCAGTTTGCAAATAAGAGGTTCTTCTCCCTGTAGTGCCTGTCGTGATGATTTCCAGAATGAGTTCTCTGGAATGTTTTCATGAAGGGAACGTTGACAGTTCCAGATCACTGCTGTCTTCACCGTAGCCATCAACTTGTACTTGAGAATTCTGGAAATATTTTCAAAGAGCGGGAAATACTTAAGGTGGATTATGATAATTGTTCTGTAGTCCTGTCTGCCAGCTGGTTTATGTGTGTTCCTATAACCAGAGCAATGCTAGCTGAACTTCCATCTGTTCTTTTTTCAGCCTGCCCAGCAATTTAAATCTCATGTATATGTTGCTGGTCAGCTCTGCCCCATCCTCGAGGATGGGTCCCAGTTCTGCCCTTCAGTAACTGGCTTTCATTGCACTGTTAGGCAGCCTGAACAAGCTACAGAAATACTATTTACAACTTTATTTTCACTTGTTCAGCTCAAGAAACTGGCCTGGGGTCACCCAAGGATCAGAGGAAAGAGCTGCACTGACAGTAACCCCAACTTAGATTATTCTAGGCTTGGCTGGATCTGTTCCTTAAAACAAATTCCACTTTTGCCCTCAAAGACTTAGCAAAAATGAAAGTTAGTTGAATCACAAATCAGGTGACAGAGGGATGATTTTAGTGGCATACATTATGCCTGTCCCCTAGTCTAGTTTAGTATTCAAATGGCGGGCGGGGGGGGGAAAACAATTAGAAGGGAAGTGTTGCTAATAGTTTTCTGCCTGTTCAGGGAGTTGAATAGACTTAGTGGATCTGGTGAGCATCAGTAAGAACAGCAGCCACAGCAAGAGCCAGCAGTGCCTGGGAGGGAAAGGGGCTTGTCCTGCCCCTCTGGGAGCTGGCAGGAAGGTCAGGTGCTGGGTTCTGTCAGCTAGAACAAAGCAAAGTTCAGTTTGTTTCAAGCAAAACAATATTGGTTTTACAGAATTAATTTTTATGACATATCTAAATTTCAAATATTGAGAATAGTTGCTTATGAAACCTATTTTGGCACTGTTTTACTGGTATGTAATTATTCACTGTTGTAGCTTGGACGACTAAGAAGGATCATAGTTCTTCCTGTTCCTGCTTTAAAGTTGGTACTTTAGACTTACAGTGAAATTCTTCTGGCAGCTGTAGTGGTTAAAAGTCTCATTTAGGAATATAGAAACCTTTATGAGTACAATGGCTGATAATTTGTTCCTGTTTTTCTTTCATCATGACTACACTGCGATTTAAACATACTACCAAGCCACTAAATAGAAGTACTCCTATCAGCATGCATACTTTAGATACTTGCCACAAAACAAGCATTATCTGTAAGTTTCAGTATTTTAAGATTGCTGTTTGACAGAAAGAGGTGCTATTACTGTGCATAGAATATACCTGGTGGTTGTATAATGACAGCTTTTGATGGCCCTCCTCTGCGTTTTGTTTCGTTAGGTTGCTGACCACTTGCCAGACTTCCTCTTCAAGCTGTTTAAATGAGAATGTCCCTGGCACAAAGAGTACTACTGACATGGCTTTTTACGTTACTCTTCCTCATCATGCTGGTACTGAAGTTGGATGAGAAAGCACCATGGAACTGGTTCCTCATTTTCATTCCAGTCTGGATATTTGATACTATTCTTTTAGTTATGTTAATTGTAAAGATGGCTGGACGTTGCAAGTCTGGCTTTGACCCTCGCAATGGCTCCCAGAACATCAAGAAGAAAACCTGGTATCTCATTGCAATGCTGCTTAAATTGGCCTTCTGCCTTGCCCTCTGTGCTAAGCTGCAGCAATTCACCACGATGAAACTAGCCTATGTATTTATCCCATTGTGGGCCTTGCTCATTGGGGGTATGATTGAACTTGGATACAATATTTTTTACATAAGAAGAGACTAAGCTGTACGTGGCTCTCCAGTTGGAGATTTGGTACCAGTTTGCTGGATTATTAGTTCTGCCACAAATGTGATCCCTAAGCCAGAATGCCGCCTAAGGAAACATGCTGGAGACGTGACCTACACCAGGCTGAAGACCAGAAGTAGACTTGTACCATTTTTTTATTTTCAAATGGTCATACTTTCTCTTGTAAATAAAAGTATTTGTTCCACATAAGGTGTTTTAATATGGTTGTTTGTTATATGGAGTAAAGTCAAGCCTTTTTCCACACAGATAGATACCAGAAGGAACCACAGATGTTCATCCCACTGAATTCAGCACTTAGGGGATCCCTGTAAGGATGTTATCTATGTCTTATGTTGTCACACAAATTTAAGAGTCAGTAACAAATGGAAGCCAATAAAAAGAGCAAAAAAGTAACTTAGCAACATCTCTTTGACATAAGAATCCTCTTTTAGTATGAAAAACCTGAACCTAAACTGAATTCTTAAGTGCTGAAACACAAACAATATGGTCACCTAGGGAAAAAGTTAGAAACTGAACTATAGCAGCAGCTTAACATTCAGAAAAGAGGAAGAACAGAATAATTATGATCATCTCTCCTAGCAAGAAGTCACTTGTGCTTTAAGAGACTGCAGCTGCTGTAATGCATTTGTACCTGCAGGAAGTAGTATTTTAAGGAAAAAGTTTTTAATGCTATGGTGTATTAAATCCATGGAGGTGAAGCCTTGGCTTTTCAGAGCATCAGCAAACACAGATATGAGCAAAAGTACTTTTTCACATAACAAATACAATGAATGGAACTCCTGGGAAGATCTGAACAAGAATCCTTTTGTGTGGGCTGGAAGTGCTCTGCCTGGAGCCAGGATAACATCAAATTGAAGTCTAAGAGCTTCTTATGATGAGGACATCATAATATACTGAATATGCTGATCCATTTACGTTTTCTGGGTACAAAAAAAAAGTTTCAGTGAGTGAAAAGAGCCAGGGAAAGACTTCTGAGGTAACAGCAGTTGATTAAAATGCCTCATAGGAAAAATATTAACTGATTGTGTTCAACTGTATGTCCTCTAAAAAGGAAAGGTCATCCTCCATCCCTAGATTTTTTGCTTGCTCTTCAATCATACAGACAGACCTGGAATAAATACGTAGCAACCACGACCTGTTGCAGCCTGAAGCACTGGATCATGGCTTGGAACACAGACTAACAAAGGATTTTTTAGCATCCATTCAGGCTGCTTCAGTGTGGTCGGCTGCCCTGTCTTGTAAATGGGGAAACCAGGGAATGGGAAATCTTTCTATTCTTTAGCCATTGTAAAGAATGTTGTAACACATCAGCTTTTGCTAAGCACATTTGTGTACTCCATCCCAGTTTACAAGCATCACGATTTATGGGAAGCTGAAATCAGAACTTTTCTTCCCTCCGGAAGGAAAAAAAACAATGGAACACCACATTTTCATTCCTTCGGTAGCAGCATTCCTCTTTGGGAGGCATCCTGCTTAGCTCTAGAAGAGCCTTCAGCAATGCCTACGTGTTCAAGTCAGACTCTTGCCCACTCCTGAAGAACAGGCTTTGGCATCTTTGTGAACTTGAAGTGAAAACAGCACTGCAGCTGGGCGTAGCTGGGGGCAGGAGGAAGGGCATTCACCTCAATGCAAGCTCTTCAGCCTGCCTGCTATGGAAAATGAGTGCACATACATACACGACATATGGAACAGTCTGCGCACCTTCTCTGGCTCCCATGGCTGAGATGCATTCTCTGTTATGTCACATGGCTGGCAAGCTAGGCTTCATGTAAAATGTTTATTGGATGCTTGAAAAAATGATGGAGAAGGTGAAAATTATACAAAGATCCACCGACCTCTGAATCATGGTGAACTTCTATGAACCACTTGCTACAAACACATAACCAGGACCTGAACTTAGGCGAGGGGGTCTCAGTCCTGAATAAGGCTTGATGGACAACACGACAGAACCACCAGGCCCCACTTACTTTGATGCAGTATGTTAGGGCACCAAGTGTCAGAGTGAGCACCCATGGCCTTTCCACAGCTGAAGATAGAACAAGCAGCAAAAAAGCCAAAACCCCTCCTGCTCAAAAGAGCAGTATGGATTTCCTCACTGAAGCTGCTGATGTTAACGGATGGTTGTAACTGATGTTAAAATAGGAATCAGCCTCATTAGGACCTGCTGTATTAGAAGATGAATTTACAAGATGAACTGCAGAAGTGACTGCACCTCCTTCACACATCCCCCTCTAGTTCACAAATGCACTTACTATCTCAAAGTGTGGCATCTCCAGTTTACTAGGACTGAGCACAATTATTTCAAACTCTTCTCACTGGTGACAGGATGAGGGGAAATGGCCTCAAGTTGCACCAGGGTAAGTTTAGGTTGGATATCAGGAAAAACTTCTTTACAGAAAGGGTTGTTAAGCACTGGAAAAGGCTCCCCAGGGAGGTGGGTTGAGTCACCATCCCTGGATGTGTTTAAAAACTGTTTGGATGTGGTGCTCAGGGGTTTTAGCAGAGGGTTGCTAGAGTTCGGGTAGTATGGTTAGTTTGTGGTTGGACTTGATGATCTTTAAGGTCTTTTCCAATCTGAGCAAGTCTATGATTCTAAATCTCTTTAGAATTGCTGCTTACTCTCAGGTTTTTTTTTGTTGTTGTTTGTTTGTTTTGGGGAGATTTTGTTCTTCATCCTTTTTTTAAGGGTCTACTTAAAAACCTTGAAATAAATCTCTGGTTCGAAGTGCTGCGGCAGCAGTTTCTTCCTGGTATCCTGCATAGGTCATGCACAATTTCATTCATCAAGAGACCTTCTTCGGATGCAGCCACCTGAAAGCACTGAGTTTTACAAATTTTTTCTTGGTCATTTCAGAGGTACTTTGATGAGAAAAATATCCCTTTTGATTTGGTACTTTGCATTGGTTCTAACGCTGACTTAGAGCTGCTGCTGCGATACCTTCGTTCTCTTCTACCTTTTTCTGCTATCAGAACTTCATTCAGAAAAATCCAATCCAAAGTTTGCTGTGACTCTTCAGAAGCTGATGCAGGAATTACAGCTGTTTATAACTTCCATATTCTCAAAGGCATTGGTTGCAGCACTGAATCAAGATGAGTGAAACAAAAAGGCAGATTTGATAAAGCATTGGGGAACACAGAAAGCTGATGCTGAGACGGCTCATCCTGAATTGCCAGAAGTCACACCCAGTTACGTGGTGGTACAGCAGAGAACGCCTGTCCCAGTTATGTGGCACAGCTGTGACATGGAGCAAGGGGGAAGATCTGCTTCAGAATGCAACTGAAAAGTTTTCTCTTCTGAAATGAAACACTGTTGATCATATCCATATGACTGATATATATTATATAAATTATATATATATTGATAGCATATATATGGTGATAAATATTCTACATCATTTATTTCTATTCAAATCATTCATACAAGCTTGAACACTTCAGCATGCATTATAGATGAGTATCTACTTTTGTCAGATTCAGGAAAATAAATACTCAATGCACATGTGTAAAAGACCATGAGACTAAATTTTTCCATTACTTATTTCTATTGCTTTTCTTGATTTGTCAGCATCATAGAATAGCATGAAGTTCTCTGTTCTTGTACTTGGAAGATACAGTTGTGCAACATACATCCCAAACTTGAACCTGAACACTTTAAGAATGTGCATACATGCATTCCAAATGTACTGCTTGGCACAGATGACAACATTCAAAATAAGATAGCACAGGACTGAGTTACAGGGTGACTTAAGAGATGAAAGCAGTACTATTTCTGACAAATACACGCAGTAGTACAGAAGCAAAATTTTATCTCAGGGAAATTTTCACATTTGTCCAATAGAAAAGTGGTCTAATTGGCAAGATTTTCTTCTTGGGACTCTCTGGAGCGCCTTTCTCAGCTAACTGCCCTACAATGCAACCAGATTTAAAAAACAAAAATTCCATGGAAATCAGCCCTTAAAACACAAGCCTAACCTCTGCGACACACCACACTGTCATTCAGGTGAAATGGAAATCAGTCGGTAGAAGGAAACATATTGAAACAGTTACTGCAAAATAAAACTTGATAAAAATAGAACTTTAATCTGCTCCTTTAATCACTGTATCAGAATATCACATCCATACACCAAATGTTGAAGGAGTATTTAGGACTAATGACCTCATCAGAAAGCTGTCTATCAGCGTGACCAGAACACAAGGCAACCAGTGGTTCCCTGGCACTTAAGTACAGAACAGCTCTAAAGCAGAAGCAATAACAGCATCACAGTACAAAGGAACACAGCGGCCCGAATCTGATACATGAGATTGGGAAAGACCACATTCCAATGACTCTAACAGAACTAGCAACCTAGATACCATGAAGTTAATCACTGCTTCTGGATGAGAAGCTGCACACACAGCAGAACTGTTTCTATTTATTTTTTTTTTTTTAAGAAAAATGAAATGAGTGACCAATGGGAGTCAAAGGTTTCCAAGTGTTCACGTGTGCAGGAAAGTCAGCAGGATCGGCACAAAACATCAGCATTATCTATTACACAGTTCTTAAAGTGCGTTTCATCCACCTAATAAGGTACCAAACAAGTAGTAGCAGGGACTCACAACCCAGGAAAGCATTTTTAAGAGTGTCTCACACAGCAATCAGAAGTCATCCTTCCCATTTCCGACTCGTACACATTCACATTCAGGTCAAAGGCACCGGCTGCCTACAAGTGAACTTCTCAGCTTCATCTGACCATTACAAAAACGAATGCAATTACAGCCGAGAAGCCTACAAAGATGTCTGATACCATTTGATCAGAATTAGTACAGCTTTCATCAATAGGGTCAGGTGGTAACCCCTCTCACAACAGGTCTTTCTCCCATGAGCATAAAGAAAACATGGATTTTTTTTCATCAATTCAGCATTCTTATTCACATGCACATATTAGAAAATGGTCATTTTGAAACAAAGAATATTTTCCTTATGTTTCCTGGAAGACTTCTTCAGTGTTCCAAGTTGATAACATTCTGCCAATCTGTTTCCACAGCAGTCAACCATTCCACGTTTCCATTCCCTACATTATTTGCAATGCCAATGTATTTACTGCGCACATGTATTTTTGCTTAAAAATCAATTTTATTCATCACCAAGGAATTCTTTCACAGATGAATACTTAAATCATCACCCTCTGAAATAATACTTTATTTCTAATACTAGATAGAATTAATATTTCCATTAAAGTATTGAAATATTCACTATAGTAACAAGGAAGGGGAAATCTGCATGCCAGCAGTACCTGTAATGAAAAGGCTGTTTTGGAGTCAATTTGCAGGCATCGGAGGGCTGGGGGTGACACAACACCAGTAACACCTGTATGTAACACATGAAGCCAGCTGCCAGTGAGATGCAAAAGCTCCAGTAATCATAACAAAAACAGTAACTACCATCTTAAGAGCTATTGGTAGGGTCAGTAACAACGCAGCTCTTTGCTACCCACAAAAACGGCACGGGATCTATGGAAACATCTCTAAGGTTCTGCACATTGTGTCATTAGCTGGGACAGCACAGCAAACACACGGATTTGACCACCACTGCAATACAGGCACTGTGCCTCGCACAGATTTTTCCCATCTGCAGAAGAACATGGGCCAAAAGACAACACCAGAGATTTCAGCCAAAGTAACAGTCATAAGAAACTGAAATCCAGGGGGAGGAAAAAAGCAACAAGCAAAGATTGGTGTCAGTACATCGCAGGGCAGGAAAGATTTATTGCTGGAGCAAAAGTCTGCATGTGAAGCTGATGTATGCAACAGGAGCAGAGGATATCGCATAGGACCACTTGACACCAAGATTTTTGTCAGACTAATGAACAACTGGGGAGCTGAAATTCTCAGAAATTGTCCTCTCTCTTGAAAAGCAACCGTATCAAGATGAATACACCACAGATAGAGGACAAAGTTTGGTTTTCAAAGATAGCCAAGTGTATCCCACTGCAGCTGGTCGATGCAACCCCTGTGCACGTTTGTGTACAATAGCAGTTCCGACAGCCATTGGTTGTATACTGTTCATACAGTCCTCTCTTCAAGCTCTGCCTAACAGTCAAAATCTAATTGTCTCAAAAATAAACAGTGCATTAAAAATTGTAAGAACTGCTACTACTTCTCTCTCAAAATTCTGAAAGTGACAAAAAATGAGTTTAAAACGTGGGCAGTTAAGAAGCAAAATGTCAGAATGAAGACATACCTGAGCAGACGTTTGAGAGCACACCAGCCAAGACCACTGAGCAGGTTTTCAAGTAGAAAAAAGTTCTACTGTAAGTGTAAAGTCGTATTTGCTACACTGTTTTCAAAAATTGATTTCTTCAGTCTAGAGAGGACCCACAGTACAGAAAATAGTCTACCATCAAGGGGGGGGGGGGGTGATGTACACATTTCACTAAATCCAACAGGAAAAAAATAGAATGAATGCTCAGCATACGGATCAACAGAACACAAATGAGATTCAATGGGGAAAAATTTTTAAAAAAGCCACACCTGTCAAGGCTGGGTGGTTCCTGTAAAGCTGGAGCTGTGTACTAATGGATTTGAAAAGCTGCGTGCTGGGTTTAAGCTACAACCTGCAGCTCCTCCCTGCTCTCTGATGGCTGGCACACAGAAAAGGAATGGAACAGAACGGCGTGTATTCGCAAAGCCAGGAGATTACGGGTGGAAATTTCCAGATTGTCCAGAGAACACAATAGGAGCTGAGAGCATGTTTCTATCACAAAGGCTCAAATCCTTACATGAACCAATTAACACTTAAAATCCGAGTATGCTGGAGTCGTAACTTACCACGTCACACTTGAACCATTTGCTTATGGAGTGAGGGGAAGCAAGATCCCTGAGGCTGCAAAACTGGTAGTCATCTCTTATCCAGAAGTCATGAAAATAGCAATTAGATTTCGCCACATCCAAGAGATTCATGATTCTATTGCTTCTCTAATACATAATTATGGCTACGTAAGAGTAACGTTTAGCAATTCAAATGCTGATTTAATTAATAATTCCTCAACAGACCTATTGTAGATTTAAACACATCAGGGCACACGACAGGTAAATGGCTGATTTCAGTGCCAGGCATAAGTACAAAGTAACAATTTTAACAACCTAGGAGCAAGAAATATTTGCACCAAAAGGCCCTCGGGTAGTTGAACTAGACAACACCTGGGAAAGAAAACAACACACTGTTCTATTGCTACAATTGAAGCCAAAGTGATCACTAAGCATATCAAAGGTCTTGCTTTGTGCCTGTAAGGATGTGTAATTGTCAAGAAGTCATAGGGAAAAAAATTCCCTCAAAAAACCTGGAGACTTTAGGGCTTCAGAAATAACAACAGGCCTAGAATCTCAAGTTTTAAATATTTAGTTGAAGGACAGGCTGCAGGGCAGGTTACTGCTGTTTGTAGCTACCTGAAAAAGAAACAGCGTTCAGATGTGTTTGTACTACACAGCAACACATTACAACAAATAAGTTAAATTACAGTGTTTGCCATTACCACATCAGACGCTAGCTAGCCTTGTATCCTCTTTACTCAGAACACAGGTTAGGAAAACTACAGAGTTCCACAGAGTAGAAAGAGGTGAACAGTCAAACTTGGAAACCACTATCATTTTCCTGATGAAGCAATTGTTACTTCTAACCTGGGACTCGAGGAATCTTCCTACCAGACACACTGGCCAGTCTATCTGTACTGCCTTGCACTATCAGCACGTGGAGCAGTCCTAATCCAAATTTGCCTCAGTGAGCGTCAGGCCACAGCTCAAGTTATATTGGCTTCAGTTTGAGTAACCACTTAAAAACATTCTTTGTTCTAATTTAGTCAGATAACCGATATGAGCTTTGATTTTAAAATGTGGAAAGAAATATATGAATCGTGGCTTGTGCAGGGGGAGGAGATGAGCACAAAAGGAGTTTGTCACCCTGCCCGGCTCAGCTACACAGATGCCAACAGCGCTCCTGGAGCCCATTGGGTGTCCAACCTCCTGACACAGGAAGGCTGTGGGTATCGTCTGTCTCTGTTCCACATTAACATCTGATGACAGGGTTTGGAGAGCGCCTTTAATGAGCAGCTGTGCAGGGAGGAGTGATTTTGCATTCTGACTTAATCTTGGCTGACAAAGAATGCCTCCGCTCTACCTCAATTTGCTGCAACTCCTCGCTCCGCAACGGAGTGAGGGCATCCTATGCCTTAAGTGCAGGTAGGAACAGAACCATTGACAGAGGCAGTTTAACTGAATTATTTTTTGCAGACCCAAAAATAAAACCAATCTGTTATTATGAACCTTTATTAAGCGGCTCACGTTTCAGTATAAATCACACTAAAAAGATTTTTAAAAAAGATATTTACACTACAGTGCTGACACATTTAAAATGAAAAAATTGGTATAAATAAGCTCTATGGAAAAGCCTGGAATTGTCAAAAAGAATTCTGGCTCATCTTACAAAAAATATATATGTTAAATGTCAGCTCTACTCTAAAACCTACAACTCAAAATTATTTAAAGACTTCTTTATGTTAACCTGCAGTGTTTACAGTGCATCTGGCCCTAAGTGCTTTGATACTTCACAGTTATGGACAGGCACTGAGGAATGTTACAAAGCTACATAACTATCTTCTGTAACAGATGCGAAGGCAAGTCACAAACTTGCCTCACAGAATTTATGAATCTTTACATTATTACATCATTAAGTTTAAAAAGGAATTTAAAACAATATATACAAATTTAGCACAAAAAATCATCCTCTCTTTGTCCATGCAGTTTTGGATATGAACTATGTTGTCTTGTATCATCCGGATGTACGTGACTGCCGGGGCACAACTTGCCTTGTAAGTCCTTGCTGCCAGGTTCAAATTTGGAATCACTTTCCAACTTAAACGCCGTCAATTCAACCTGATCCAACCTAGTCTGAAGATTCTGGCCCCTGCTGTCATGGGGTGCCATGGTCTTTTCAGCAAGATCAACATTCATGGGTTCTTCTTTTATTCGGTGAGATGCAATAGGTTCGTGTTTTATCGGCATAAATTCCTGCTGCAGAACGTCTGAAAGTTTGGCGTCTTCGGAGGTATTTTTGCTTATTGTACAAATCCTGCTGTCAGTCTGAAGTCCCATAACCGAAGACTTGGGGTCTGCAGAGGTCCCTGCTTCGAGAGTGCTTGCATTTTGAGAAGCTTCTTCTTCTGAATGATACAGCTTGAGCCGGATGTGCCATGCCAAGCTGCACACCGCTGAAACTGTTTTGAACTGGTGCACAACATTCCTCGGGATAAAATAGATGTCATTATCAAATAACTGAATTCTGGCATATCGAATGCCTTCCCTTCGCAGCTGATTCAGTTTTGCATCATCAACCCACTGGACACACTGGAGGGAAAAGAAAAGGAAAAATAAGGGTGAAAACTTTGAGGACCTGCAGAGGATGATTAATTAATGGTTCATAGTGTGCTTACCTGTGAGAGTGGAGGCTCATGCAAGTCCAACTGCATGCGCTGAACTACCTCTAAGAAGTCCTCAGCATGAAAACAAATTACATCTTTGGTTATACGAGGCTGCTCAGACCTACAGGAAGGCAAGAATTGCACGGTCAGAGGCTGAAACTAACATGGTAAAGAGAATAATACAGGAAATCTGCAAAGGATAAAGGAATTCATGTAAACATAAACTCAGCAATTCTAACATAGACCACATTTCAGAGAATAAAAGCTGACTAAGTGGCTAGTCCTCAATCATGAGTTCAAGGAGGCCGATTAAATGAATTATCTTAGTTTTTCATTTTTTAAACGAGCGCTAGTATAAGAAGCAATGAAAAGTCAAAGCTCCATACTTTTACTGACCTCCATGTGCCTCGCAAAGACAGGTGGCACAGATATGTCAGGCTTACTCTGCCAACACTTTTTAGTGTGGTACTCCCATCAGGTACCTCAAAGCACACCATAACTCTAGTGAGACTGCTGCAAGCACTGCTCAGTATCTCAGCCTCACAGACCCTGTTCTGACTTGAGAATAAAGCTGGTTCTAATTCATCTGCCACAACGCCAGTGAGCGGCAAGTACCAGCATCCTTCACAGTATCCCCTGAAAACAAACTGGTGCTTGTTCTAACTAGACAGCTACAGAGGAGCAAGATCTGAATTATGGCTTCCCTGAGTATTCAAACTGTTACAGAAATTCACCTCTTGTTCCACAGCACCTCTCTGAAAGAAACACCATTTATATAAGAATGCCTCCAAAGGAATTATCTTGAATTAGTTAACAAATGCCATGACAATTACAATCCTTACCACTTCTCAATCAAAAAATAAAATTCAGTTCTTCTACATAAGCACATAAAACTAAGCTTTGCATGTGGTTTTGAGGGATTTATTTCCCTCCCCCTCTTCCCCCCCAAAAAAAAGGTTTTAAGAAACATCTGTTGATGAGATGCACTTTGCATCTGGCTGCCATGCAGGGACAGCGCAGAGGCCACATGTCCCTGGGGAGCTGGGTGCCCTCCTCCTCCCAGCAGAGCCACGAGTGGGATCTGCTCCCTAAGGCAGAACAGATCCATGCATTTCTGAGCGCACCACACAGATTGTTGACCATGTTTTCAAAGCACAAGAAGATAATTATTTGTGGTTTTTGCATACGTATGGTATTGGTTTTGTCCTAAGAAGAAGGCAGTGATGCAAAGTTTGAGCTTTTTAAACTGAAGAGATGCATTCATTTGATTCAGGTCACCTCAACAAAGAAAAAAAACTAAGCTGTTTTCAGATAAAAAAAAGGCCTGGTTTAACTACTGGGAAATTTTTACATCACATATCTTACTCCCAATTTTCTGAAGATAGAAACATCTCAATCCATTTGTTTCTATATCCTCCATTTCTATATCTTCATGAAGAAGTTTTCAGCACTGAAAGCAAAAAGCTTTGAACAGCATGAAAACACCTGCTATATGAATCTACTTTTTATAAGTCAGTTATGTAGGTACATTTTTATGTTTTAAAGGAAGACATGTATCTGCATTTGGAGTTAATGTCATTTGTAAATTAAGTGAACTCTTAACTCAGATGTACATACAGAGAATATTCATGTACTAAAAAGGATTTCAGCCCAAAGCCAAGTTCTCACAGCAGTGTTTACTCAGTGTTTTAAGCATTATGTCAGAACACAGGACAGTGAGTGTTTTTTTTAATCATTACTTTTCTCCCTACCTATATACATAAACAACAAAATGCATTATCAACTCTGTACTGCAATCATACCACAAAACATGGCATTCTTCCTGTAAACACAGAAAATGGCCAGGGAATTTTTAATTCTGCATTTGCAAACATGATTATTAGCATAACAACTCTAATATTCTATTTTGTACAATCTGAAGCAAGTGAAACGCTCAGGAAACAGTTCACTTAGATGTTGAAAGAGATTTTCAATCCAAACTATGAGATGCCCTGACCACAGTCAGCTACCACACTACTACTTCCATAGTTAGACTAGGAGCACAAGGGATTGTAAAGCTTCCTGCTTAAATCTTTTAAAAATATCCAAGTAGGCCAGAGATGTAATTACCACTTTTATCACTTGAGCAGTAACAACAGTTTTACAGTCCTAATGATTTGCAGGAGAAAACGATGTTGCTGCCCCATAGAGAAAGAAAAAATTTTCAATCTCCTAACAGCACAATCCCTTCATAAAGTTGATAAGGATATATTATGTTTATTTTGCTTCTCCAAGTTGGCAAGCATAGTCACAAATAAAATTCTTCAAGGTAAGGTAAGCTGTCCATATAAACATTCAGGTTTAGGTATAGAAGAGTCCCTTAAATACTAACATAGATACATTTTGCCCAAGAACCCAACCAAAACAAGCCTGCCACCCTTACTAGTTCTCTGCACATAAAGCATGATTCTTCTTCAGTACCCTCTGACCACAAAACCCAAGATTAGCATCACAACCACAGTCAGCACTTCCCAAACAATTCAGCAGCTGAGGAAAGCAATTTCTTATGTTTTAAGTGCTCTTCTACGCAAGTTCCCCTACAAGCACCAAGAAGCTATCTTTCCCTGCTCAATTCAGTCTTACACTAAATACAAACTAACCACTCAGTTCAGCAAGTCTAAGAACTACTTTATTTTCTCCTCACGAGAAAGAAAATATTTTAATATATGGTATCTCCTTGTTACAACGTGCGTTATTTCCACTGTGCCCTCATCACTCCTGGCATAGCTCCAAGTTTTACTTTTATTGTCAAATACAGTTTTCAAAATTTCCACACACATTGTTTTGTTTAGTATAAAACCCCTCACAGTTTAAGAGCCATGGTAAAGATAATAGCTGAAATGATTTTAGTTTGTTGCATTAATGATGTCTCATTATACAAAAGAAACTAAACAGGGCTTATAAGTACAGCATGGTACCTTTTCAAAACTGTACCGACAGACAGAAAGGGAAAGAAGTTATCACAGAGGTCAAATCTAGCTTGAAATAAACCATTTTTATTCCATCAACTGTGTTATATTTTCCTCTCCTCTACAGAGAATCATAGAATCACCAAGGTTGGAAAAGACCTCAAAGATCATCCAGTCCAACCATCCACCGATCACCAATATTTCCCACTAACCCATGGCCCCCAGTGCCACATCTAAACGTTTCTCAAACACCTCCAGGGATGGTGACTCCACCACTTCCCTGGGCAGTCTGTGCCACTGCCTCACCACTCTGTCAGAGAAGAGGAATTTCCTAATATCCAACCTGAATCTTCCCTGGTACAACTTGAGGCCATTCCCTCTTGTCCCATTGATAGTTATGTGGGAGAAGTGGCTGACCCCCACCTCACCACAATCTCCTTTCAGGCAGTTGCAGAGAGTGATAAGGACACGCCCTGAGCCTCCTGCAGACCTAACAATCCCAGTTCCCTCAGTCACTTCTGACAAGACCCATGCTGCAGACCCCTCATTCCTTTGTTGCGCTCCACCTCCAGGGCCTCAATTTCATTCATGCAGTGAGAGGCAATTTATTACATATATCAATTCCAATTTTTTCCCTGCATTAAAAGATGCATTTTCAGTCTCTATGCTGAAGTGAAATGCTGATTCTTTCTTTTCTTCTTCTCCCTTAGGCAGAACTACCAAACAAACTTCAGCCTATCACCAGATCACTTTTCAATTTACACATAAGTAAGTTTAAAAGGAATTTCAATGAGGTTGGATAGATTCTCTTTTCTACAAGCTCCAACCTAGAAGAGAAGATGGTGGTTTCATTCTGAAAAGCATAAAAGGTGGGAAAAACTTACTTGAATATAAATGAAAATGTAATGATATTCAGGAGGAGATGATCTTATAGAGGGACAGGGAAAGCGCAGGAAGTTCCCGGGGAAGTTTAAATCAAATTAAACTCTCCCCAGTTTCTAGGGGCAAGTTTGTTTTCTCACATTTTCCTTGATAAAGCTTTGATAATGCTCTCTCCCCCCTTCCCTCATACACACCTCCCTCAGATTTACACAGTTGCTCAACTCTTGCTCTACCACCACTCAATCTTAATTCACTCCAACTTCTTGCAACCATTACAAGCTGGGATTTTGAAGCTCCAGCTGTCATGAACCTGATGAGGAAGTAAACCATAAAATCTCAGAGCCAGAAATAAGAACACGTTAACTTCTGAGCAATCTAGTTCTTTCCCAGTGGCAATTATTTCCTATCTCAATTAACTCTTGCACTGTAACATATATTTGCATTATCTGATCCAAAGGGAATTCTGGGCAGGAAGACAGAAAGAGCAAAAGGTGATTCTATTTAAGTATACAAAGGTAATCTCCAAAACTAAGGTCATTCCCCCAAAACAAAGTCAGAAGTTCCTGAAACAATTATTCTTTGTTTTGGGCGACAGAGCCCACGTGCTTTTGGGGTTTCTTTATTCAGTCAAAATGTAAATAGCTTCTAACAAGATAAATTCATTTCCTGAATCACACGTGGCAATTTCAGAGAGACGCTCAAGACCATCACACAGACTCCAAGAAGATTCTTCTTATACAATCTACCATTAATAACAGAGTTATAGCAGCCATGACTTTAAAGCAAGAACAAAAGTTTTGCTCATTTCCAGACAACACAAAATTGCCAAAACACCTTCACCTCTGAAGCAGAAATTCAGCTCAACGTGCATGTTATTTAAACTAAAACAAAGTGTGAAGTATTTTTTACATCCAACATCAACTTGATTACAGCAATTCAGTGATAGCTACTAAACTGCTACTTCAAGGCACCTTTCCAGTTTCAGCCACACTGCAAGCTGTATGCAATCTTTTAAAGGGCAGACAAGCATAGCTGATGCAAAGAGAGAGAAAAAAATCCAGTTATCTTCAAAGTATTATTTAAATACCTCTAATGCTAGATTAGCCTATTCAGTGCTCTGTCTTCTGATAATAGATGGAAATTGAGGTAAATATTTTCCAGATGCCTAGCTGAGTAAGTCAGTCAATACATACCACTCTCCACAGTGCACAGCCTTCAACACTCCCACAGCAGCTGTAGTCTGTCTTTCAAAACCTTGTCCTATGTGATCTGCATGGGCTCGTGTCCGGTCTTCAAATAGCATTTCACGTGGTTCACTGGTTCGAGGTAGGTACTGCAAGTTTTTTATTTCATTGGTAGTTCTGTAGAAGAAAAATAGTATTGGTGATAAATTTCCCTTAATTATCTAATTTCTACCCATAGCCAACAGCATTGTAAGATTATACAGTCAAATGAGAAAGACAAAACCCTTACAGCAAACAAAATACATAGTGAGCTAAGCAAAAATCAGAATACTGATGCAAATAAAAAAATTAGTCAGGTTCCTAAGTACATTAAAAGGCCCTGATGACTCAGCCTCTCTCATCTACACACCCTAACAAAGCGCCCACGAGTTTCATATTTAAGGTTAAGCCTGGGCCTTCAAGCTTACCTGAGCCATGCTATAAGAGCATTCATCTTCTACTCAGCTAACAATGTGTGCAACAGTTTGATAAACACCGCAACTGTTCCTCAAGCAGTTTTTACCATTTGTCTTTCCACTGGACAGTTAGAAAACACGCATGCATATTTAATTCCACACTACAAAACTAGGAACAAGCAGCAGAAAGATTATTTCTTCAGAGTTTAATGAACATGGATGCCACAACACAGAGGTGAACAGAGACTCAAGACCTTTTCCTGTATCCAGCTTGAGTCTGTGCTGCGTGCCACAAAACATTTTTTCAAGAGCTACTTAGAATGCCAGGTTGAAAGTGACATCTAGAAAGCATGTGGTCTACCTTCCCATGCACAACTACAGCAGGTTGCTCAGGGCTGTCACCAGTCAAGTTCTGAGCAGTCTGAAGGCAGCGACTGCACAAGCTCTGGAGAACCTCTTCCAGGGTTCAACTGCCCATACAGTAAAGGGGTTTGGTTCTGTTACTCTTATTTTAAATGAAATTTCTTGTAACGCAGCTTGTGCCCGTTCCCTCATAACATCACCAGGCACTGCTAAAAAAGTGCGATTCTCCTTTTTTTTTCCCCCTCCTATCAAATGCTTTTACAACACTGCTGTGATCCCAGCTGAGCCTTCCCTTCAAAAGGCTAGATCCCAGCTCTTCCAGCAACCAACTTGCATATCACCAGACCCGCTCCAGTATGCCCAGGTCTGCCTTGGGCTGGTGAGCCCAGAGAAGGGTACAACACTCCAGATGTGACACCAGTAAGAGAGAAGAATCCATCAGCATGCTGACAGTGCTCTTCATAATCCCATCCAAACAGCTGCTGACCTGCTTTGTTACAAAGGCACAGTGACAGCTTACAGTCAATGCAGCTGTTCATGAAGACTGGCAAGTATTCGTCTATCAAGCTGCTTTTCAGCCAATCAGTCTCTAGCCTGAACTAATGCACACTTCCTCATAGGTGCAAGATCCCAAACTTCCCTCTGCTGACCTCATAAGACCTAACCTGTCAAGGTCCCTCTGGCTTAGCAGCACAACCCTCTCATGCATCAATCACTCCTTCCAATTCTATACTGTCTGCAGACTTGCTGATGGTGTATACTGTCCCATCACATTGAACAGACCACTCTCCAACTAGACTTTGAACTGCTGATTACAACCCTTTGAGCACAGAAATTAAGCCAGTTCTTGATTCATTTCATTCTTCATCTGTCTAGCTTTTCCTCCATTAATTTGAGTGTTAGGAAGTTAGGGCAGACAGGTGCCCAATCTTCCTAAAGCCAAGATAAACAACAACCCTAGCATCACCTCATCCATTACACCCATCATTTAGTTGTAGATTAGAATGGATTAACAGAATAAATGGAGTTGGAAGGGACCTATAAGAATCAAGTCTAAAATTCAAACCCCTGTGTCTGAGAGCACAGTTCAAATGCTTCCTGATCTCTGGCAATTTGATACTATGACCCCAGTCCTACAGAGCCCATGCCAGTGCCTGACCACCTTCCTGTGAAGAACCTTTTCCTACTCTCCAGCTTGACCCTCCTTTGACACAGCACCATGCCACTCCCTTGGCTTCTTACCGGTATCTCCAAAGAGATCAGCACCTGCCTCTCTACTCCCTGTCATTAGAAAGACCATCAGGCTGATAAGGCATGATTTCCCATTTATCAACTGATGCTAGTACACCCAGTATCTATTATCTCTCATGTTTCAAAGTCGCAGGGTCAAGGCAAGGTTGACTGGCCTGTAGCTCACCAGTCCAGCTTCTTGCCCTTCTGAAAGATTAGAGTGATATCTGCTTTCTCCCAGTTCTCAAGAACATTGGCCAATTGCCATGACCTTTCAAAGACAATCAAGAGCTGCCTTGCAATATGACCAACTCCCACAGCACTTCTAGGTGCATCTTGCCATGCTCCAGGAGCTTCTGCATTGTCTCATTTGTTTAAAACATTCCTTAATCCAATCCATATCCACTGAAGGCAAACAGTCCTCATTCCAGCCCTCCAATTGTCTTCTAAACCTGGAGACTAATCTTACCAGTAAAGAGCAGCAACAAAGGAAGCAGTAACTTGTCCTTTGTTTCTCTGTGACCTTTGCCCCATTCAGCAGATTACTTAAGTTTTCCCTAGTATTTCTCCTGCTGCACATATACCTACAGAAGTCCCTCTTGTTGCCCTTCACATTCTTTACACCTTACCAAATTAATCTGCAGATACACAGACTTCACCTGTATCCCCTTCACAGTCACTCCTGAGGCATGTGACCCTGCGTCCATTTCTTGTTTGCTTCCTTTATAAACCTGAATCCTGAAGAAGAGTGCTCCAAAGCACCATATAATTTTCAATTTCTGCAGCAGACATCCTCACTCTTAAGCTAGTGCTTATACCCAGTATTACAAGAAAACTTAAAAACAGCATTTAAGGCTGGACACGTCATCTTTCAGATGAGAGAGAAGCCTCTGCCCTTTGAGGTCTTTAAAGATCCAATCACACTTAAGAAGAGGAATGTCAACACCGGTCTCCAGAGGCATGTATCAATAGTTGTATGCCTATTTACATTTCCCTGCTGTTTTCACCTCACTATATTGTAAATTCACCGCATGAGGAAAATGAGGAATATTCAGATGGTAACCTCAAATTCTTCTTAAAGCTCCTGAGAGAACCAGCAGCGCGCTTGGCCAGACAGCAAACAATAAAAATATAGAAAACAAAAAACAAAAAACAAAAAAAACCCACTATCACCAATCAAAACAACTCTTGTAAAGCAAAGCAACTTATTATATCTTCTGAGACGAACACTTTCAACAATTTACATTAAGATTACATATAAGCCAGCAAAATGTTAGAGGTAAAAGGAATTTTCAAAGAATGAATACTAACCAAACACTTATCAAGCAAAATACATCAACATACCTCTTCCTTTTGAAAGGTGACTTTGGCATGTCAGCCACGGGGATCATCTGCTCTCCTGGACGTACCCACATAATGGGACCATCATCACTGTCTTTACGACTCTCTAATTTTAAACTAGAAAGCGTTCCCCATGGCAGCGTACACTAATGGGAAATACAAGGCACAATTTTGAATTAAATATATATACATATATATTTAAAGTAGTCTTTATCTGTCACAGTGAACATGTTTATTAAGCAACTCAATTATCTAAGTGAACATCATAGCACAATCACTTGATGTTACATGACCTGAGCATTGTTCCCCTTCACCCACCCAATTCCCTTCTGTCCTTACTTTTAAGAAAGGTGATTCTTCCAACATATCAAGGAATTCAGGGAAGTAATCCCCCACTTCCTCATCAACTGCTCCAACCAGGCTGATCTGTCTCATTGGGCCAGCTCTATACGTACCATGAGAGTATGTTCTTTTTACCTATAAGTAGAATATGACAGTTACACTAAGGTCACTATCACTCCAAGTCCGCATCCAATAAACACCTTTAATCTGTGTTTACCTTTTCTGATTGATATCAAGTCCTACATAAATCCTCATTATACTTAATATTATTAAGAATTCAATTACTACAAAGTCAGCAAAGACAGAAGCACCCATTAAAGATGTATGACAATTGTACTTCATATAATTCAAGTCTGAATGCAAGATTGAGTGAAAGTTGTCTTTCAAGCAAATTATATTCTGAAAGCAGTAACCATGAAAGACCATTCAAGCGCAATCTAACCAGTTAAGTAATAAATAAACATTCTTACCTTGACTATCTGCATACTTAAGTCTAACCAAATTTTTACCTTTTCTGTAAGTTATGTAACATCCTGAGTTACAGATCATTACGTTCTGAATAGTTCCTCTGCTAACCATTCTCTCCAATACAGCCCTGCTAACCATTCTCTCCAATACAGCCACTCTGCGAGTCCATTAACTGGACTAACTCCACAGTGAAGTGAAGGCCCACCAAAGGGCTAGTACAGGAAAAGTGAGAATGACAACTACTCATTTATTTTTCCTGTGCTAAGACTTCTTCTGCTCTCCTCCCACTTTAAAGGCCACAGCATTCACCTCTCACAAAAAAAAAAAAAAAAAGCTTTTTAAAACTCAAACAGAAACACAGCATTAAGGTTGTTCTGTTTTTAAGTAATCTTATCTGTCTTATTACATGAATAAAATACTTAAACACAAGACTGATCAGGATCACTTCCCCTTCTGGTTTCCTATTTAACAGGCTAAACAACACAGCAGTATTATCAGATGAAATATGACCAAGATCAAAACAGAGGGAAGAGCAGATGGATTACTGCACAAACAAGTACAGCATTTCTCTTGCACTGCATCTCTACACATTCTGCATCCAAAGCAAGGAAACAAAAAAGTGCAGGGAAAACAATGAAGCACAGCTTAATTATGGTCCTCACCCAAAACAGACTATTGAAATTCCCATTAACTACGGCAGGGCAAAGGATAATTAGCAGCAACTCTAGAAAAGACTAAGCATACAACACAGAACAATACTGTGCCCTCCTTAGAAGCTACACTGATGTAACAAGATGCCTTTCAGAAATTGAGAGCCAAACCCTCTTCCAATCAACTCAGTCACACACACCCCGGCCACAGAGGACTGACAAACAGTACGACTCTACAGAATGTCTAGTTAGTGTGATGGAAAACCATGACAGCCGTATTGAGAAAAGCAGCATTCCCTAAATCCTTAATTATACATTCCTGCAGCTCTCTTGCACTGACACTGCTGATTTTGTTACAAAACAACAGCAAATACTCATTTCTGTTGAATCTCCATCAGTCAGTCCTCAGCTGTCTGCAGTGGCACTAAGTGGCAGGAGCTCATGGAACGAAGGCACTTGGATAGGTAAGGCATACACACTTCATTTATGGCTTACTGGACAGATCCATTCTGCACCACCCAAACAACACCTTCTGAAGGTACAGCCAGACATAAATGTATCAGTCACAGTTACAAACCTAATATGCAAGTGGATGGGTCTTCCACTGGTATAAGTAACTTAGCATTCTTACATTCTGCCACTCTAGGTCAAGACATTGAGCTGGTACTTGCATTAACATCCTTGAATTTTATTTATTTTTATCTTAAGAAAGAGATTCAAATAAGAGGTAGGCCATAACAATGAATGCCTGGCCAGAAAGAACACAAAGTCTGCCAAAGGAGGCAGAAGCTGGCAGTGAGCACTGTCTTCTGAAGTAGCTCTAGCTCTTCACTCTCTTCCACTACATCTTCCTGCAGCAGCACACACGCTCTGTGGTTCAGAGCTACAAGTAAGCACACAATGACTTTCAGCTGCTCTTGAGAATCTGCTATCTCATCTCCCTCACATGACTGGATTAGAACAGAAAAGTTCATATGGAGGGGACCTTTGAAGACCATTTAGCCCAACTGCAGGACTACAGCATCCTGAACTCTAGACTAAGGGCATGGGCTGAGTACTCTGAAGGTAACTGGTCTGACTATTAAAGAAGGCATTGAGAACCTCAACCTTAGTGGTAACGTCCCTTGTCACATCCAATAAGTAATGGAGATTCTCCTTGGCCCTCCTCTTGTTGTTAATGCATTTGTAAAAACATTTTCAATTATTTTTAACAGTGGTAGCCAGATAAGTCTTTGTTGGGCTTCTGGAACAGATTGCCCAAGGAGGTTGTGGATGCCCCCATCCCCAGAGGCATTCAAGGCCAGGCTGGATGCGGCTCCGGGCAGCCTGGTCTGGTGGTTGGTGACCCTGCACATAGCAGGGAGTTGAAACTAGATGATCTTCGAGGTCCTTTTCAACCCAGGCCATCCTATGATTCATTCTATGATTCTGTTTTTCTAATATCCCTTCTGCATATCCTAGCAACATTTCTGTACTCTTCGTGAGTTGGCTATCCTTTCTTCCAAGTACGGTAAACACTTTTTTCCACTAGAGTCTCAGCCCTAAAGATCCTTTCAAGAGCCCTTGGGCTTCTCCCCATGATTTCACTGCTGCCAATTGCCAGAAGTGGGTAATAACCAGAGGGCCATGCCAGACCAGGGAGCTTCCTAGTAATGTCCCTAACCCAGGCCCCAGGGAGACAGCAGACTTCCCTGTGGGTCTGGTTAGCTTATTTGGCCCTTCGTTCCCTTCAGAGGGAGCCATGAGTGACAATCACCCTTCTTTTCTTCCCATACACTGGCAGTCTTGAAACATGGACATGGCTGACAAGCCCCAGACAATTCTCTGGGTGGTTCTTCAACATCCTCACTGAGTTGTCCTCCACATTGCAGAGCCTCATACCTACTGTTGAAGGGCACCTGGGAAGGCAAGGCAGGCAGGGACTTGTTTCCACTCCTCCCCATCTCTCAAGTCCCCTCCTCCTGTCTGATGACAAGAGAGTAGGAAATCCACCATTACTTGCAGAGCATCCCCCAGTGCTTTTCTTGCAGGAATAGCAGGGAGCAGCTCCACTCGTTATCTCTTTCTCACTCCATGATGCTCCCTAATCCTTCTATCTCCTCCTTTAGCCGTGCCACCAGACAGAGATGATCATCCACTTCCTCACACCACACACAGGTATGCCTCTTCCTGAACAGAAATTTCAGGAGATGCATCCCAGCATTTTTGTTACAGTACAGTTCCACCAGTGTCCTTCTGTGACTGCAGTCAATACTATCACTTCATGTACTTCATTCACATCATAGCTGAAATCCTCAAATAACCAAGGTCAGGAAGTCCAACTATTTAGAAGCAAGATGACCTAATATTCTGTATTCCACTGACACAAAAAACAGTGCAGCAGTTGACAAGGAATTCCAACCTTCACATACAACAATCTTGCCAAGGCAAAGTAGCTATTACACACCTCTAACTCAAGAAGACCTCTGACAACATTCAGTCCCAGATTCTCTCCAGGTTTCCAATACATACCTTGACGGTTTTATTTACTTTGTTTTTCCCTCAATACAAAATATCCCAGTGAAAACAAGCAACATACAACTCTTTTGGTATCTGCTTGTAAACAGTGTTACCAGCAATCTTGAAAGGTAACTTTTACATGCAAAACAAATAATGCAGGCTTCTGATGTCATTCATATGAACTGATTCTCCGTTCAACACCATTTAATAAATGAGAACAGTTCTGCTTTGAAGACAATAGGCTGCCACCATCCATCAAAGAAGTCTCTTGCAGAATCTTACACGTTATGAAATAAACAATGGTACAACACATGTGTTTTAACAAGCTAAAAATTCTATTTTGTCATCATCTAAAAGGAAAAAAAAAAAAACAAACACATTTTTTTTGGGAAAACCTAACAGCAAGCATCTACTAATAATCTTTCCAGCTTTGACCAATCAAACATTCAGAAAGCTTAAAAGCAAGGTGAATTCTACCTAAAGTGAAATTCTACTGAAAGCTGAAACAACTGATGAGATGCATATAACGTATAATATAAAGAATTCCTCTGACCACTGAAGGCAAACACCACAATATATGAAAACAGACAAATCTTTAATGAAAAGAAAATGAAATAGCATGCAAACACTTCAGATTTTCATGGAAGAAAAATGTTTTCAACAAGTCCTCTCAAGAAGAAGAACAGACAAAAAGTATGTTCAAGGAAGCAGGATTTGACAAATCAAAAGGAGTGAACATCAGGAAAGTCTCTCCAAAGATAAACCTGCAAGAGCTAAAAGAGAAGGATGGGAAAGAAAAATAAAGATTCCCAGAACTGTCAGAAAAAAAGGATGACCACTGACCTGAAAAGTGACTACGTGAACATCAGAGTCATCACCACTGCATTCTTTCCTCTAGCACACTCACTGTTCTTCACACTACCCAAATACCCAGCATCTATTCCAATTAACACAGGAACATGGAATATGAGACTTCTGAAGGTGCAAGGGGTCAAGTTATATCTTTGAAGCAGTAAATTGCTTGCTGTCACAGAATGAGATTGACTGTGTAGTCCTGCACTTGTCCCTCTGGCACCATAAACTAAAATCATTTGCTGACTTAACAATAAAACCAATCGTGTGGGAGCAGACAAAGTTTTCAGCTGGATTAACAACCAAATTGGCTCACCAAGAGCTTTGAGAAACGCCACAACTTGGCACAAGGACACACAACTGGAAGTAAGAACAAAGACATCCTCTTTTAGCAGGAAGAGGTGCTGGATTGGCTCTGACAACTTGTACAACCACACTTCAAATGGTGCAAAACATACAATGCTTATCCCAGATCAGATGGGCTTCAGGATGATCATCCTCACCTCCTCCAGAGTAACAAAACAGGTAGCCAACAGAGAAAGCAAGCTGCAGCAATTCAGTGAGAACTCAAAACACACTCTTCAAGCTGTAAGATAAACACACAACCTTATACAAATGGTGGTGAGAGAAGCAAGGTACAAACGCTTATCCTAGATGCACCTGGGA